CTTCAATGTCATTTCCAAGATGGAATGCTTACCATCAACGCCCCATTCAAACAAGACGACAAAGAAAATGCAAGAGAGATTCCCATAAACGTGTAAAAGCAAACTTTTAAGATACAGGGTAATAAAAAAAAAACCCAACCTGTACAACCTTTTCCTAAATATCTCGCACAAAATTTGTACTAGAATGTTGTAATTTGGAACAGGTATAATTCATTCAAAAGGAATTTGTTTGACATAAAATTCACAAAGAAGATACTTATTTTCGAAAACGGAAATGACTTTTATAAAAAACCACCAAGATCTATAAATGCAAAATGCACCAATTTAAAAGATCTTCTAAGGAAAGTCATCAAATGGTTGGTTTTGTTTTTTCCTTTCTTTTTATTTTTTAAAATCTAATCGTTCCATCCCTGTAACCTTTAAACAATATTTCTTTTCTCCTACAGAGTTTTAAAAAAATATTTCTTTTAATTCTGGAATTCCACTGGTCATGTCCTACTGTGAACTCGACTCGTAATTTTCAGTGTTGGCTAAACACAAGGATCACTCAACCGTGAGTGCTCAAAGCCACACACTGTACACCTTACACGTACATTATGGAGCTGTGTCTTGAGACACTTAGAGGGGGGGGGGGGGGGGTTGCCCAAATAGACAGCATTTGTGGAATTGCTATAACCTGAGAGGTGAATATGGGCTTTACTAAGGAACCAAATGTCATAGAGGAAATGTTCACGATTTGCAAGACGACCGAGGAATCATGAACGCATTGCTATCCTCCTTGCGAAATGAGTTGGTGATGAGGAAATGTTCAATACTAAAAGCTCTCTGCTCTTTATTAATCTTAATCTTGATCTCAGCAGGCAAAAGAAACATGAACAAAAAAAACTACCTGCAAACTTCTGTTGGCCTGTTAGACTACTGTAGTTTGCAATATGGCGCATTCGTTGGGATTTTTAGTTGTTGGCCTAATGCGAACTAGTACGCCATGCTACGAAAATTAATGGTGACGTAGCTGAAAATGTGTTGTTTTTTTTACGCGCTATGTAGAGCAAAATTATTCAGTACATTTATCTAAAATGAATATCAGACAAATTTCTTTTGACTTACAAATGTTGTGTATAAATTTGAAATTGAAATCTTCAGTGAGGAGGAATATATTTTTTTAAAAAGCTGTACGTATTTTTTTTTTGGGGGGGGGGGGGGGTTGTTTGGGGGGGGGGGTGTTCTTATCACCCTGTAGTTTATTTTAACACAGTTGAATTGATCATTTAACGCAAGGATTCCAAGCTATGGGTTCAAAATGGTGTTTGGTTAACATTCCCTTACCACAGATCCCATAGAGTATAATCAGAGAAGACTTCTACGTGATACGTGCGATGTAATAGGTAGGCTATTCGTGAAAGCGGGTAGCCTGCTTATAAGAAATTAGATCTACATGTACATTTTTCACATCTCTATACTTTTGATACTCCGCAATACTAAATGGACAAACTCCGCTGAAAACCGCACAACTTGACTTACTCTTTTGTGTTTAGATTCTATCTCTTTATAACCAATGTACATAAAACTATGTAGGATATTAATAATACAAATGTACATGTGTTTGGAAACTAGGGTTACACTCTATAGGTCCTATCTATTTCTGTGCATTGAACACTAGTACCATCCCTTGCAGAAACTATTCCATTGCATTTCGATGATATTATATTCTTTTTGTCATTATATTATGATAATATCTTACACAGTAGCCTACGTGTATTATACGATATTACTTTGAATGAACCCTGGCGTCTTTACATTGCTGGGGTATGTTTTTGCATGGTACAGCTGCTCAAATCATAACCTAATATTTCTGTTTTGTACAACGACCATGTAATTTCTTACTAACTGAGTATAAATGTATTTGTGCGTTTGTGATGAATGTACGTAAGCCTGAAAGTCATTGTTTGCAAGTATCCTTTCTGATTTCGATTTTGTTATGGATTCTTATTGATTGATATGATATAATATATTTTATTAAAGTACCTAGAAATCAATTCTACATGTGTTTTTGATGTGAAAGATCATTAAATACCATACGTTTTTTTGGTCAATAAAAGATTATCAATAAAAGAAGAAGATGGTTTTGAACACTTCCCTTTTTACGTATTGTATCGTCTGCTACTGCCATAAAACTTATTGATTCTTTGTTTCTGGCAGAAACAACAAGTTCGTAGGACTACATGAATGAGTGGGTCCTTTCAATTAAGAGAGTGTCACTCCCTTCATAAAATACATGTATTTGAATTAGACAGCTACTCATATCGCTTGTTTATATATAGATGCTCACTCTCAATGACTCGATGATGGTCCCAGATAGGAAGGAGTAGCTGGACAAGAACAAAAATCAAGATGGCAGCCTATTTAATGGAGAGGAAACACAGAAATAAGGCCAGAGCCTAATACGCGTCTCTGGCAGCGCACGCTAAGAAACATCCCCCCTCCCAAATCCCCAAACATC